ACCCGGCCCCGCCCCGCCCCACACCCTGGGCTGCAGCCCGCCTCTCAGACAGGACTGGGCATGAGCAGAAACCTAGCCTTCAAGGCGACCTTATGGAACACAGGGGAGGCGTCCAGGAGCAGCTTTCTGGACCCTCTGCGGGCGAGGTTTAGTTATTATAAACACTAATAAAGACAGGACCGCACGGTCGCCTCCACTGAGCCCCGCAACGGTCTTCATCTTACCCGGCGGAAACGGCAGCTCAGGCCCAAGTCTGCAGTCCAGGGTCACAGCCAGGCCTAAGTGCCAGGAAGCCCCCTCCAGCCCGACCCCCTGCCACCTCCCTCCGTCCGAATCTGGGCGACAGAAGGCACCGCAGGGAGATGCACTGGACCAGCCAGGCGGCCCCCTGCTGAGCAGCGCCTGCTCCCTTGGCGGCTGGCCGCACCCAGGGGTCCTGCAGCCCTCGAGGTTCCCCAGGGGTCCGCCTGACTGACTGCTGCCCCTGAGGCCTCTGCCAAGAGTCTCCCCAGGTGCCCTGGGCCAGGCGGCAGAGAGAACCCAGCCAACGTGGGCTGCCCCTCCCAGGGCTTCGCCTGGGTTAAGGAAATACTTTCTGGAGCTTCGTGCACCCCAAAACGTCAGCTCCCCTCTGCATCTGCCAAGTGCGGTCCAAAGTCCACTCTGCTCCAATGGAAGAAAGGCCGGAAAGGCCGGAAGGAGAAGCCCGAGGGCCGAGGCGGGGGCTGTCGGGGGAGGCCCCATGGGTCCCGTAAACAGGAAGCGCCCAGCTGTCCCAGGGGAGCGAAGCGTCCCCCTAAGAACAGGAGCTTTTGTGGCAGAGGCAGCATCACACAGGGTCCCCTCCAGGGAGGAGGCACTACCACTAACTGCCAACAGCAAATCTGGGGGGCCCCTTGGAGGGCAAAGGCCATGCAACTATTTCTTCCATTTTATCATTATCTCCATTTTAAGCATTATTAAATTAAATGCTCAATGATGGAAGGGCGTGGGAACGAATGGATGGACGGGTGAACGAATGAATGAATGAATGTGAATGAATG